TTGTCGACACCGACTATCGTTCGAACGCTGAAGAGGGTGCCTCGTCACAGCTTGCACAGCCAGGCTGGTACGTATACGCGCCACAATTGCTGGCTACAAAGGTGAGATTAAGGCAAAGTATAAACTTTTTGGTTTTGCCCTGTTCTCACAGTTTGGCTACGTTATATGTCAGGTGGAATAAAATGTAGTGTGGGAAAAAATTGAGTTTTCTAGGAACTTTTTTCAGAACTGAGATACCACATAGGTGGAATAAACTTCTAGAAACATACAATGCCTCCCTTTGCATTCACCGTACCCGCACCTTTGATTTTTATTTGAGCAAGTTTTATAGAAGGAACTTTTTGACACTAGAAAGGTTGGGAGAGGTCGGAGGCTGGAGACGAGAGGTAGGGGACTCTTCCAAGCCCCTCCTATGCTACAACTATTTCTCCATACACTATAATCAATTTTCGTACAACCACTTTCTCCTTGCCCCTGCGAGCTCTTTTCAAAACCTTTGTTGTGCGTTTGCGTGCTCCTGCGCCATACCCTGAACACGTGAGTTGCCTAATTCCGCGTCAACTTGTTATTTTTCCTATATATGATCCCTGTAATGAGGATTATTCAACAATATTATCTCCTTACGTGGCCATTTTCAGAGCCGACTACTGCGAGCGTTAGGTTTTGAGTTTCCGCCATCATTGATAGTTGTCGATACAGCTTCGAGAAGTGTTGTGACAACAGAAGGACGACGATTACTGGCAGACGATGTGAATGGAACGTCATTTCCATGGTTGGTTCCTTAAAAATACAACTAGTAGTTGTTGATTCTTCATATTTATTTCTGAGTAACGTTTTTTGCTTGTGATCGCTTTCTATTGATCATGCCTGTTTTTATTCATATTTTTTTTATCATTTTTCCTTTTGATTGCAGTATACAGAGGTAGATGTAGAGGTTTTAATACAGAGATTTACTGAAGTGTTTTTACGTTACGTACTCAGTTGGCAAATCCAGGTGGCCACCAGCTGCGCTAGAAGTACTAAAAGGCAACATTTTACGTCGGGTAAATGGAGTCGTGGAAACGACAGACTTCTCAACAAGTACAAACATACTGTTCGTGGACTGTGTCTGTGATCCGGCGCACAATGGGGTGAGTCGACTTGTTATCTAATTCATTTTTTACAGTCCATCCCTTATTAAACAAGCTTTAGAGCATAGCATTGTGGCTAATTGCACAATGTACTTGTACCTTGGCACCTGCGTCGTTTTTCTATAATTGCGGTTGTAGATGACAAGAGGTTAAGTACAATTTCCAAGTACTCTTGTTTTTGAGCGATTCTTGGCTAGCTTCACCGGGAGACGTGCTTTGGACGTGGGGTACCGTCTTTTTTTTCAAATTTTAGAGGACCTAGTTCACTGTTATGGTTTGTAAAGAGCGAAAAAATCTTTTGAACAGAACTGTTGCTATCATAAAAGTTTTTAAAACTAATTGTTTCAGTGCCCTCCCTGCCGTCAATGGGTGAAACAATTAGCACCTGTCTATGAACAAATGAAAGCAAATGGCATTTCATTGGAAATCGTCTTTTGTTCGTCAGATAGGACCCAAGAAGCTTTCGATCAATTCACTACCCAGGTAAGATCCTTTATAGTGATCAACTTTGATTGACTAGATCGTTCTTGGAGATGTTAAGAGGTTTTCGTTCGAATGTCTTGGATGTAATCTGCCCCGAGATGAAACCAACCCTTTTTATTTCAGATGCCTTGGCCTGCATTTGCTTATGACCCATCTAAAACGTTAGCATTGACAAGAGTCTATAACATAAGCGGTGAGCTTTTGGACTTTTTCCCTTCTTCATAATGCTTTTCTTTCATTTTTTTCTTTCTACGCTGTTTTTTTTTTCAATCTACGTCACACTGGTTGGTGTATGCTTACTAAATCCACAATTCAGGTATTCCATCCTTAATTCTTCTGGACTCGTCTGGTCGAGTGATAACAAATCATGGTCGATCATCCCTGTTAGAGGATCCAGCTGGTCGTTACTTCCCATGGGGACCTCGTCCTTTGTATGAACTTAATGAATATACCGTCTGTCGCTTGAGAGATGAGCCATCGCTGATACTCTTCACTGGTGTGTTCTGAATTCTACTTTTCCATTTTATTTGAATAGCCGGTGTTAATGTCTTGATTCTAGAGGGCTCCGCCGATGATATACAATTCTCTCTGTCTGTGATGGATGGGCTCTCGAAACGGTTATTCGAAGAACGAATGAAGATTGAGGAACGACGTGTGGAAGAGGCCGAAAAGAAGAGTGATGAGAGCGCCGAGCAAGGCAATGGATTATCGAAATCGGCTAGCAGCGAAGAGTGCAGGTAAGTATTACAGCCCTCTTTGTAAGCTCCAGAGGGACTTCTTCTCCTAAGATTATTGGATGAATTTAGCTCGACTGGCTCGGATTTACCGATTCCTCCGCAAGCGGATCCATTACAGCTACTCTACACAGGCGAGGATCCAATATGTGACCATGTAGGTGTTCAATTTTTCCGTACAATCCAGTTATTTCTTGTGACGGCGAAAGATCCCTCTTGAGGCGTAATATTGCAGATTCTCGAGTCGATTCTCGGCCTTGGTGATGTTGAATTGCCATTGATCTGCATTGTCGATGGTCTAGCTGGCCATCTATGCGTGTGCGATCGACCGGATGTGTCAGAGGCAGT